GAGATTGACGAATTTTTCATGGATAGTCAAGGGTTTTTAACCCGGTGTAGTCAGGTTTTGGTTCTAGTTTCTGGTGGGATCAGGCGGATTGTGTTAGAGGAGGATCAAAAGTTTTGCTTTTCCATACACCCGGCAGCCACCAAGATGTATCAGGATTTGAGATTGAGCTACTGGTGGCCGTGTATGTAGAGGGATATAGCTTGGTATGTCGAGAGATGCTTGACCTACAAGATGCTCAAGGTTGAGTATTTGTGGTCGCGTGACAAGCTGCAACCTCTGGAGGTTCCCATGTGGAAATGGGAGCATATTACCATGGATTTTATCACCATGTTGCCGAAGACGGAAAAGGGTTTTGATGTTATATGTTTTATAGTTAATCGATTGACCAATAGTGGCCACTTTTTGGGGATCCAGGAGAGTTATTTGGCCAAAAATTTGGCCGATGTTTATGTCTGGGAGATCGTTACTCACCATGGGGTCCCAGTATCCATTATTTTGGACCAAGATGTTCGTTTCACTTCCAAAAATTCAGGCAGAAGTTCCACGAGGAACTAGGAATTAGGTTACATTTCAGCACTGCTTATCAATGGTAGACCGATGAACAGAGTAAGCAGATGATACAAACCCTTGAGGATATGTTGTGGGCTTGTGTTATTGATTTTGGTAGGAGTTGGGACTCCTACCTACCTCTTGTGGAGTTCTCCTATAACAATAGTTATCACTCCAGCATTGGTGCTCCGCCTTTTGAGCTCTTGTAGTGTCGGAGGTGTCGTACCCCTGTTTGATAGGGTGAGGTTGGTTACAGGGTCATGAGAAGGACCGAAGTAGTCCTTCAAAGCACATAGATTATTCATTAGACTAGGCAGAGACTGCAGAAAACACATAGTCGGCAGAAGAGCTATGCGAACTGGTGCCGATCTGAGTTAGAATTTTAGGTCGGTGATATGGTATTACTCAAGGTCTCGCCTTGGAAAGGTGTGATACGCTTTAGAAAGACGGAGAAGTAGGGTTGCTAATATTTTGGTCCTTTAGGGTGATTGTCAGGGTTGGCAAGGTATCTTACTAGTTGGATCTACTTGAGGGACCTTATATGTTTTGCAGTTACGAAAGTGCGTATTGGATGATGAAGCAGTGGTTTCCTTGGATGATATTCAGGTCGATGAGCGCCTGAACTATGTTGAGAGAAATGTAGCTATTATAGAAATGAAGATAAAGGTCCTACGTAATAAGGAGATATATTTGATAAAGGTACAATGGCAGCAACGTAGAGGCTCCAAGTGGACTTAGGAGCCGGGGGCTAAGATGCGGGAGCATTATCCTGAGTTATTTGCCACTGCAGACTTTGAGGAAGAAGTCTAGATCAAGTGGTGAAGAACTGTAACATCCTAATGTTAAGGTACTTCTAATCTTGGACTTTATGATTTTAGTATGTTGCATTTTGGTCCATAAGTTGATAAATGGTAAAAAGGGGCCCAAAGTGGATTTTGGTGGAAATTAGGTCAGATGAGTACGCCATACACTTTGTATGTGTGTGTACGGGCACACACTTCGTATGTCAGACGTACGAGGGTGGCATGCAAACGCTAATTTTAGGGCCTTGGTTCATATTTAAGCAACATTATAGACTCAAACCCTATTCTTATCCAACCTCTTTCAGATATTTCGACCCTTAAGAAACCCTAGGGAAAAAGGAAGCCATTTATTAAGACTTTACGAGAGTTTGGAGTGGTTTTAAAGATGGAAGAAGGTGGTGTGAAAACCTTGGACTGGAGTGCTTTGTATATTTCGGATTACTAGCTTGTTTGCAACCTCAAAGAGGTATAAACCTTGCATATTCTCCATCCCATCTTCTAGATCTAGGTTTTTCTATTTAAAGTCTATTTTTGGGCCCAAAATAATGATTCTTGAACAAAGTGTGTTCTTCACCGATTAAGTTGTCCTTTTAGACCTTTAGAGGGATCTTGAGTCATAAAAAAGGGTTCCAAATGGTTAGTTTTGCTCCATGCATCATGTAGAAGGTCTTAATCGATTAAGACCATAAGTTAGGCACTTATTTGACATGTTAAGTCATAAAGTCGGAGACTTTATGACGCCTATGAATATTTTAGTTTTGGAACTGCAATATAGACATAAGAGCCTTAGCCATTAAACTCTTAATGGAACTTTTGGGTTTTGGAATTACGCCCCACGTAATCGGAATATGCCCTACATACGATGTCAACCACCCTGATGATGGTCAACATGAGAGGATGCGAGTACGCCTAGCATACCTTCGGTGTACGCCCTGGGTATAAACTCTAACTCAATTTGGTTGAGTTGACACGGTTGAGTTGACTCAGCTGGGCTGACTTAGTTGACTTAGTTGGTTTGACCAGTTTGACTTTGACTTTGAACCAGTTTGACCTGAAGTGTATTTTGGGATTTTGATTGAGATCAGTCATTTGGGTGGAATAGGAGGCGGGTAGAGCTGCGATTTGGAGTCGAGATCTCATCAACTTTTGCTCAGTTTTTGGGGTGAGTTTTTCCTCACTATAGTTGAGGGTCAAAGGCACCAAGGCCGGCCTATTGGTTTGATAACATGGTATTCATAGAGATGCTAAGTATGGAATAGATATGCATGTTTATGCTAGTTGTTGATATGCTAGTCTGGTAGATCTGCAGGGCTACCTATGATTCTGTCTGCATGACTATCTGAGTATATGTTTATTATCTGTTATATATCAATATATTGGGTTGGGTAGAGGTTGTACTGCTCTGTGTTGTAGCCAACAAAACCCAGAGTATTCCAGATATATGCTAAGGGTCGGGTAGGGCTTTCCATACTCATCCTGAGGAATCATGAGCATTCCAGATAAGAGCTAAGGATGGGATGGTACGCCAAACTCGTACTGAGGGCTTTATGGTACTTTAGTCTAATATGATCTGGTCAGGGAGCTGGTCAACCGTAGCCAAAATTATGTTGTGGATTCACGGGGTAATCCAATCTTTTAGCTGTGGAACCATTGCATGTTGTTACAATATATGTTATTTGGTTATGTGTTGGTACTTTTGGGGAACTCACTAAGCGTTAGCTTACAGTTTTGGGTTATGTTTCAGGTACTATGGATGACCGCGGGAAGGCGAAGGCGTGTCCGTACACATCCTTTTGTTTCATAACCTATGTTTTTAGGAACTCTGATGTTTGAAAATGTTTTGAAAACAATGGTTGTAAACAATTTATGAATTTGGGTTGTTTTAAAAGTTTAAAATTTCTTGTGATTTTTATGAGTGTAACATTATTAATATATTAATATGGTAGCATTGGTTTGTTGTAGAGGTGGTAATGGTTGGTGGCGGCAGAGATCACGGTGGTGGTTAGTGGTGGCGGTAGTGGTGGTGGTGGTTGATGGTGGAGAGGAAATGGTTGATTCATATATGAATAAACTTACATTTATATTCATATGTGAATATTACTCATCTGTGAGTGTGTGTTTTTGTGTGTGTGTGTGTGTGTATATATATATATATATATATATATATATATATATATATATATTCTCATGTGAATAATGATTATAATTTGAAGATATTTTAAGTGGGCTTGTCTACATTAGGTAGTTTTCAGCAAAGCCAAACTACCTTTCCTTTGGTTGGCTCGTTTCAAGCCGTAGCTATCTATAGCCGATGTGGTGTCCTCTTCTCATCATCTACTCTTTACAAAGGTGTCCTCCATTGTTTCTATTCCCCAATTACATTACTCCAACACACCACTACCGACTCCAGCCCCTTCCTGTCATTCCTTTTTCTTTCTTGGAAATTAATTTTCCTGGCTATTCCATTTTCAATCCTTTTTGCTAATGCACCCCCTACAACTTCTAAGATCGATCCAGAATAGCTGTCATTGGCAAGTCTGCCTCCACCGCAAAAGACGCCGCCAACACTTCTCCACTTAAGATTCTTTGAATTTCTTTAGATCGATTTTGCTTAAAATTTATGATTTTATTTGCTTCTTTTGTAGGGGTGAAAGAATTTTAAGTAGCTTTAAGAAATCAACATCACTCTCATTGCAAATAACCGAGAGTGGGGAGGGGGGAAACTCATATTCATTTTCATCTGTGTGAGAGAGAAGGTCAGAGCAAAAATCATGGTGGTTGAAGGATGGATGAAGCAGCGGGCTAGGAAGCACACATATATAATGTGTCCGTTCGTCAATGCTACAAATGCAACCATAGTTGCTGCAACAACTGAAGTTTATTAGGAATATTTCAAATTTATATTGCTTGATAATAAATTTTTTTGGGATTACCAAATTAAAAGATAAATTTGTTCATTAATATTAGACTAAATTATATAAATTGAATATATATATATATAATATATATATATATATATATATATATATATATATATATATATATATATATGTATATGATGCGCCCCTCAGAGCGGGACATAAACAAGCGAACCCCTGGTGAGGAACTCCTAGCGAAGCCCGGGCCGGCGACTCAACCACTCTAGCAACCCCGGACTCCCGTGAGGCGATCGCATAGGAAATGTGCCCTCGCCAAGTGTTGTCCTTTAGCTACAGTCCAAAAAAATGGCTCCAAGCTACAATGAGCATGGCCAGAGCATTATTGCCTGAACCAATCGTTGGACCGGACACAAATGTGGAGCGGAGTTCTCCAATAAGGGCAGCGGATCCTGTCGGAGACGAAGTCCTTGTCCTTCGTACAGACCAAGGAGTATCCTCATTATAAAAGGAAGCCTAACCTGCCTTGAGAGGTAAGCCATTCTCTATGCCGATCATACATCTCCATTCTTCAGATTCATCCCACTAACTTGATCTTCGGATCATTTTTCCGGGACCTCCTCCCGGAGAGCGGCTGACGTTCGCTCTTCCTTTGTGACCTCTCAGGTTTTATTCCGATGACCATCTCTATCCAGCCAATATGGTTTGGAGCTAGGGCGCATCATTTGGCACCATCTATTTGTGTGACAATAGATACACAAACCCCTTTCCCTTAACCACATATGATGAAGAATACAATGGTTGAGCAATGGAAACCATCACATAGCCCGATATACCTGATGGCGTCATTGGAAGCTGTCAACACCCCAACAACACCATCTTCTGGTGGCCCACCACCATTTCTTGAAGTAGCGCCACCCTCCGGTTTCTTGTCACCATCTCTTGAACCAACACCATCATCTGGTGGCCTGCCACCACCTCTTGTGGCAGCACCGACATCTAATGGTCCGCCACCGTATCCCACGATGGCACTGCCACCAGATGACCCGTTGCCCTCAGTTGCAACAATCATGCACTCATCTTTAACCTAGAGTCAAACATCACCACCCACTCTGACCCACACAACACCCCCACCATTCCCAAATAGCGGTGTGCCTAACCAATACATTGTACCCACTTCACCACCATTCTTCCCCAACACCATCAATCCTAACAACATGCAAACAACACCCATGATGCCTTTCGTGAACGGATCACATGCGAAAAACACTATAATCGGCCCAAACGTTACAACATAACCATAGAGACACCCATCATTGATGGCGGGCACCGTGTCAACATCACCACTCGCGCTTTACCAGCAAATACCAATGGCCCAACAGCAAATATCCATGGCCCAACAACAAATACCCATTGCCCAACAACAAATACCGATAGCCTAACAACAAATACCGATGACTCATACTTTCCCTACTCCATTTCAGCCGCCAAACTTCTACAACTTTGTAACGCCGGACCTGACAGTCTATAACTGATGGGTTTTATACAAAAGAACATTGTATGTGCTCATGCAAACCCTCAAGCTTGGATCTACGTTTCTCTATTGTACATAAAATTCATCCAATACTTATAAACCCTAGATCTAGCATACTAATTTCAAAATTAACATATGAAAACAGATCTAGATGATTACCTCTTCAACAATGGCTTAAATCTTATTGTCTTTGGAGCTTAGAGTCACAAATGTCACTCCTCTAATGGCTTGCAAACACCACAAGAAAGAGAATGACTTAGGAGAGGAGAAGAGGGCACCAAAAACGTCCAAGAACCCTTAGGGATTACTTCCACACGTTTTTGGGGACTTAGGGGTTCCTTATATAGTGAGGCCATTAGGGTTTTGAACTAGAAAACCCTAATCTGACTGCTTAGGCCCGAAGCAGCCCATGGACTCCCTCCTTAGAAGCCTTGGACCAATTCTAATGGGTTTCCCCATAGATTTCGTCCACTCCAACTTCTATGGAGTCCATTAGCCCAATACTCAACTATCACACAATTGACAGCTCTAGTCCTCTTTATTTAATTAATGTCTTTTAGCCATGAAATTAAATCTTAATTAATTCCTTTCTAATATTAATTAAACAATATGATTTCTCCTTTATTATATTATTCATATAATATATTTAAAACCCATAATAACCTCTCTCTCTCTCTCTCTCCATAAGTCATCCTATCAAGTTGCTTTAGTGAAGGCAACCCAAAAGGACCATGCACAACTGGGTCGAATACTTACCAAATATAGTTACGGGCTTAGACACTAATCCAACAGTCTCCCACTTGGATAAGTCTAGTAACTATAATTCAAGTATTATCCGATTAGCAATCGTAGCTCTCAAAGATGCTGTCGAACTCTGATCTTATCAGCAACTTGTCCTTTAGATAAGGGATCATATATTCCTCCATTCTAGATATCGTATAGACATGAGAAATGGATTATAATCATTCTCTCAGTCTATGTGTTGTTTCCCAATTTCCGATTTATGACGACTGACAACAGACTACAATTGAACACATCAAATTAGTCCCGGCTTGGCCAAGCACTTAGGGTGTCATCACTAAATCATCGAGGGGCCTGAAACTCTCGGGCTAACTGCTGTACCTCAATAACTGGTGCAAATTCTGCCCTAAACCTGGTAGAGAAATCGGCCCAGGTCATGGCATCTAACACTGCATCATCTCCAATGGTATGACCGACCTCCTCCCACCAATCCCGTGCCCTGTCCTTTAGAAGACAGGACGCCAATCTAACCTTGTCCCCCTCGAGACACCTGCTAGTGCGGAATGCGTTGGCCACATCCGCCAACCATCTCGTGCTCGCTATGGGGTCCCGCGCCCCATGGTAGTCTGGAGCTCCACATGCCCTGAACTCCCTGAACGTAAGTGTGCGTGACCCCATCATGGCCGCCATCTCGGCACGGAAAATGCCCATTCTCTCATCCATCAGCTCTAAAATACCCTCCTTGATCGAACCGAAAATCACAGGAGTCTGCTCCAGTATGATGCGGGTAACCTCAGAAGAAAGGAACTCCCTGGTCTGCTCATCCATCTGCCCAGCCTTCGGGCCAGATCCTGATCCTGATCCCCCTCCGGCATCTGAACTGCCGACTGTTGGTCTCGAACGCAAAACTACCATTCTGAAACATATCATAACAACATCAGAAAACTGAAATATCTCAAGGGATCATTATACTACTACTAGCTTTCTGGTCTTGTCTTGGCCTTCCTTGATTTGAGTACGGATCCTCTGCTTTCAGTAGTACGGGCCCATACTACCTTCCACATCTATCTGTACTTTCCTCAAGAATTGCCTTGACTCCACCAAGTCATTCCTACTACTGCTGCTCTCTGCTACTCTCATCCTAGGCTTGCCCTAGGGAAATCTTGACTCTACTCAAAACAGTCCTCAGCTGCTGAAGGCCTCCTAGAAATGCTAATTAGCCATCACCTGAATACCATCACATGTGATGAGGCTCGGATAATCCTTCGAGGAAAAGGCTCGTCCCTACAACGGTTAGACTCAAACAAGAGTTGCGCAATAGGGCCAAATCCAACACTCTGAGATTATTCAACCCTGATCACATGTGACGTGACGTATTCACCTAATGGCTAACTCTCATTACTAAGAGTTCTACAAAGCACGAAGCAAGCAGCATTCGGACACCGGAAATTACCCAAGCAATCCTACTCTCATAACGAGAAACTGATATGGCATACAATGCTAAACTCGCGCTACCAGGCATAACCTAAATAGGCTATCCTACTGCTGTCTACTCGTTACTAGCATGCAATTCTCATAAAGCTAAACACATATAACAGGCACATAAGGCATCCTCCTAGATCCTTAGTCCTATACTAGCATGCTGTTCTACTGAAACTGGAACAATTATTCATAATTATAAAACTTGTATGGGTAATTTGGGAGTACTTACTTGAGCTCGGCTGATCGCATGCACCACACCCTTATCTTGTTTAAAACTTCTTTTCTTTCTAAGTGTTCTTGTTGTTGTTTTTTTTTTCGAAAACATTTTTCCTTTTTGAAAATCTTTTTATCTCTCCCTTAGTTTGAGTGCAGATACACCCGGGGCGCACCCGAATCCCTCAAACCAAGGCTCTGATACCAACTTGTAACATCCCAAAGAAATGACCCAATTTTTTATTTTTTTTAATTTTTTTTTAGTGATTACTAAAACACCATAATAAAATCATAAGGTAAACTCGTACGTCAATATCTCATAACAATAATAAAGTGGTATAAGTGAACGAAATCAAAAATGTATTAGTCACATCTATGAAAAACAAATCAACTCCCAGGACAAATGATACTGTGGTGTGTATGTGCGATGCCATCAACTCGAGCTCTTCCCTTTGCTTGCGGAAGTACCTGAAACCAAAACTAAAACTGTAAGCACAAAGCTTAGTGAGCTCCCCCAAACTACCACATACCAAATAATACATATAATCACATACTGGGCCTTGCCCACTGCATCGGACCAAAGTCCGGAAACTGCATCGGACCAAAGTCCGGAACTATCCAGAGACTTGCCCTCTGCATCGGATCGGGATCCGGAACTACTGAGGCCTTGCCTCCTGCATCGGACCAAAGTCCGGAACTACTGCATCGGAACGAAGTCCGGAACTGACTGCATCGGACAAAAGTCCGGAACATACTGTACATAGCATCACATAAGCATATCAACTAACATGAGTACATACATAGCATACTACATCGGGATGTAACCCGGAACACATAACACCAAATACTGTCCGAGCCACGAAGGCATCAGACATACTAAAATCTGCATCGAACCGAAGTCCGGATACTACTGCTAGCTAAACGGGCCGGCATTGTGGCCTTAGACCCGTTCCTACTGAAGGGAAACTCACCTCGTGATCTGGCTGCTGAGTGTGTGGCTCCGGGAACTATCTGCTGCTGCTCCGGTATCTCCCCGGCTACAAATCCACAATTACACTCGTCAAATTATTAATAACTGTATTGGGGTAAATGACTCCTTTACCCCTGGCTAAAGTCAACTCTCCTGGTCAAAGTCAACTTTACAGTTGACCTGACTCGCCGAGTTGGGCCGCCAACTCGCCGAGTCCCTACTCTCATTTCTCACCCTACTTGCTGCTACTCGTCGAGTATGGCATCAACTCGACGAGTTCCCTGTCGAATCTAAAACTTCAGGTAATCTGCATCAGACTCGCCGAGCCGTATGATCAACTCGACGAGTTGTTCTTCGTGCTAAGAAGATTGCCTTGGACTCGCCGATTCCCTCCGTTTACTAAGTCTAACCACAACTCACTGAGTCCACTCCAACACTCACTGGTCTCACTCGGCATCACTCAAAAAGGGAAAAATCGGGGACTCGCGGCTCGACTCGCCGAGTCGTTCTTCCGACTCGCCGAGTCGCTTGCATGCAGCAACTCAAAACTTGATTCTGCTTGAATCCAGTGCATAAAACTTATAGATCTGGACTCCCTTAACTCGATTAGCACGTAAAGATTCTATCTTTACGTGCCCATATGCATTCATGAAGATAAAATAGCTCAAAAAGCATAATAAAGGCTAGATCTAGGGTTTCCATGCAAAGTATCTTCATAAAGGCAATAGATCTGGGCTCTGAAACTTCTCAATGAATAGATCTAAGGATATCTCGACTTATTAGGGCATTCATACAATCATAAGGCTTGGGAAAAGCATCAACTAGATTTAGAAGAGTTCTAATGGAGGTTTAAAGCATAAAACAAGAGCGAAATCCGAAGAATACCTCCAATAACTCTGATTTGCCCTTGGATCTTTGCACTACTCCTCTTCTCCTTGCTCCTTTCCTCTTCTCCTTCTTCAAGCCTTCACAAATCACACAAGAACACTTAGATCACTCAAGGATGGATTCGGGTTTTCTCACAGCGTTCTGAGGGTGAAGGAGGCGAGAATGGGGGCTATAAGGTGGATTAAATAGTGAGCAACCCGAAGATTTAGGGTTTCAACCTGGCAGGCCGACTCGTCGAGTCCCGAATATGGACTCGCCGAGTCGCCGATCTATACGCTGATCAACAACGCGACCCTACTCGACGAGTCGGGACATAGACTCGCCGAGTTCCTCCATTAACTTCAAAAATAAATACTAAAAACCACATACCAGGGACGGGTCGTTACAGTTTTATATCATATATACACATTGTAATTGTCCAATGTTCTTCTAATTCAACTTTTAACTTGATCTAACTTCAAGATTTTTATAAATTTTACATTTATCTTCATTTTACATAATTTTCATTTTTAACTATAACATATATAGCTTAGTAGGTCTTCGGCATACATATGTGATGTAAGATGAAGATAATAGTGAAATTTCAAAAATCTTGAAAGTAAATCAAATTAGGGGTTCAAGTTTAAGACATTATATCAAACTACCTAAGCTTATATACCCTTAAGGGTATATTCACTTTTCCTATATATATATATATATATATATATATATATATATATATATATATATATATATATATATATATATATATATATATATATATATATATATATATATATATATATATATATATATATTACGGATCCAATTTCTTTTTTCAGTTTTTGTAACCATCCAAACCTCATGGTTGAAATTTGTGGCTTTGGGATTCCTTCCTCTCATTATCTTTTGTTTGAATACTTTAAGTGAGAGCATGGCCCTCTCACACAAGAGCACAATGGTTTTTTTGTTCTCGTCCCCTCCTTTATAGTCAACCTCAAATCCCCTTCTTTATAGTCAACCTCAAATGCTGGTAATATTAACGCCGACTTACGTGTTGTATGGTTGTACAAGGCCAAACATCTTCAGTCTGCCGACTAAAAAATAAAATAAAAAAGAAACTAAATCATGGTTATAATATTGCAAAAGGTTACTTTCACAATATTACATTTCAATGATACCATCCATATTTTATAAATCGATTTAAATACAATCTATTATAACAATAGATGTTAGTTTGCATTTGTTTGTGAAGTGAAAAAATCCTAACAATTGTCTAACTTAACCTGAAATTGGGATTAGTCCGACTATGATATTTCAGAGGCCTAGTGCATAAATCAAAGTTCGGCTTTATGATTTTTTTTTTTTTTTTTTTTTTTTTTTTGTAAAATATAATTAGGTATTCATTAATTCTAAATTCAAAAATTTAAAGTTACTAACAAAGATCTCGTAAATTCTTTTTTTTTTTTTTTTTGAAAAGGGAACTTCCTAACGAGGGTTTCCAGGTTAGTTTTCGCGCACTGACTAATCCCTCATGGCCACAAGCGTTGAGTGGTGTCAGGATTTGAACACGGGTCAATAGGTTATCCACCATATCTTCCACATGCCTTACCAAGTCACCACAACCCAAGTGGTTAGATCTCGTAAATTCACTACCACAACTTCATGTTTTCACTTAATAAGTAATAAGTTGTAATTGTTAAGTAACTTTTAAAAAAAATAAAAAGAAGATAAAAAAATCAACCAAAAGTAGACTATTTTCTAAGCATGGATCTCTTAGTATTTTTAGAAAAAATTTCATGTATCACATTTTCATAATCAACATTATCAAGAAATTTACTCTAATTTGAAATTAAAGTCAAAGTGTTAAATCTCACTTAAAACATGGTTGAACGCAAATAAGATTGTAAAAGTTTTAGTTTTGAAAAACTTTTTTTTATTGATGCAACTGGAGAAGAGTCAAAAATATTTTATATGCTACACAAGAAGCTAAATAAGGGGTTGTTTGAGTTTTTGAAGCAAAAATTCATTAAATTTGCGAATCATCTCTGCAACCCTTTGCAGCAGAAGAGGTGGACCAAACGACTGCAAATTATAATTAGAAACGTTTTGTTTTTTTAATATCTGCATGCTGGTGCAAATATTAAAAAAATAAAAAATCTTATTTTATAAACTGAAAATAGTTTTAATACCAAAAGTTTAATAATATATGACATTTTGACTAGAATTTATGATATTTAAGTAAAAAATAATGATAATTCAACAAAAAAAAAAGAAGATATTTTAGCAAAAAAAAATTAATTACATTTCATCAAAATTTTATCATTATTCAATATAAACAAACGGAAAAAAATTCAACATGAATTAAAACAAAAGTAAAATAAGATTTTAGCAATATGAAAAAAAAAACATAAAAATGTTGGAAGAGGTTGTAAGAGACAATACAAGTATTGCGCTAAACAGAACATTTGTATATGTTTTTTACTCCAAATACTTCTAAAACAAGTTGCGCCGCTAGCCCTTTTTGGATGGCAAAACTTATTCTTTTGAAAAGAATATTTTTTCAAAAGAATAGGTTTTGCCATCCAAAAAGGGCTAACGGCGCAGTTTGTTGCCCGTTTGCCTTCAATTGATATCTATTGAATTCAACTCAGGAAAAAAAAAACACTCAAATCCAAAAAAATAAATAAATAAAACACAAAATTAGCTTATCTATCTCTATTTTCAATCAAAAAAATTCATCACCATATTCAATATATTCATACTTCTGAAAGACAAACAGTTATGAGATCAAAAGTATTGCGCTTGTGCTGCACCGCACCACAATAAAATGTATGAAGATGTTTTTTTCAAAAACAAAAACACATAAATATTTATCATTTTTAAAAAATTAAGTATTTTGTTAGCTCTATTATATTCAACGTGTAAGTGTTTTTGTAACACCGACTCGTATGACAGAAAAAAAGGCTCATCATAATTTAGCTGTCAAATAAATTACTAATATATAAGGACTTGGAATGCAATGTTGAAACAAACATAGAGAATATTTCTATAATTTATTCTTAATATTATGAATAAAGTCTATTTTATAGTCTTTCTTTAAAATTTTCGGAGAAGATAGTAATATTTAAATGTGACGTAGTTTTCATGACGTAACAAGAGTACGCAAGCCACTGATCAATCGTGACTCAGATCCTTGTCATGCCACGTTGTTCAAACTTCCATCACCAATCGTAACACGTGTCCTTCTGATCCTATATCTTCCGACTTCCAAGATGGCGTTAAAATATATGAGGAACCCATAAAGCCCAATATTAAAACATTGTTTTGATTTTTACATGGTCAAATATAATTAAGTTATTAATATTTATAAAACTCATGATAATTTTACTCATTTATTTAAAACAGATTATTTTATTTTAAAAAGTTCATTAATATTTATAATTTTTTCTTGAAGAAGTGAGTCATATCTATAAAAAGTTATAAAAACATAACTACTTTTAAAACAAAATCTATTTTTTTTAAATGCAACGTATTTTCTAATAAGGAACATAGTTTTTACCTATTAATTTTTTTTCGCTGAACATAGTTGTTTACATATTAATTTGTCTTTTTATTGGCGTTTAAGTAAACATATACTCGTCTACTCTAATAAATAAACGGTTTTTTATCATATGTCACACACTTATTCAAGTTGTCAAAGGCTATTTTGTGGTTATTTTGAATTAATTTTTTTTCATATATTATTTTATAGGTTTTTTTTTTCTATTTTAATAATTCCAAATAATATGTTAATATGATAATAACAATAAATGTAGTAATAAATAAATATTAATTTCATTAATGGACTTACCATGTTATTTCAAAATTCTTAAATTCAAACCATTAGTTTAATTTGTTTATTTATATGTAAAGTATCAAATATAATATGTTTCTTCATTTCTTATTTCAAAACTTTATTTTAAAAAAACTTATTATTTACATTTTAATATTTTATTTTACTTTAATCAACTCGTGTAATACACGGTTTTTACGCCTAGTTTATTAATAAAAGGGGAATTTTACAAATTTAACACATTCTCCTAATTTTTTTTAACAAATATTAGCAATTATCTCACAACCTTTAAAACCGTAGGTTTCTAAGACCATCTATTGTTTCGCCTATATCACCTACGGTTTCGACCTTTATATATATATATATATATATATATATATATATATATATATATATATATATATATATTTCATTTTTCAAAACAAAACCGTTCTACGGTATCCACTCAAATGTATACGGTTTCGCACTCCATAGATCCTAAGTGCTCTACGGTTTCCACCAAAAAATCTACTATTTTTTTTTAACTACTATTTGATATTTTTTGATTATTTTTAGGTAGAAGTGGACTATTGATTTATAAATTTTGAGTACTATTTCATACCTAGCCTATATTTAAATGAGAATATATTTTAGAGTAAAGGTTATTGTTTTTTATCTTGTTTTCTCACAAAAATCATAGTATGAGTTCAACTAAGTATTTCGTATTGTTTACTACTGATGGAATGTGAGAATTTGTTAATTCTCAACTATCATATGTATGGCAATCAGGATACATTCCAAGAATGCTTTATTACAGTGTTGAATTTCATTGAATTTGTTTATTGATGAAAAGTAAAAATGGATATTCCTAATGAATCAAAAGTCAACATCTCTTATCATCCAAATCAACTATATTGTTGGTTAAAGAAGTTATTGAGGGTAATGAAGTCGCTGATATGGGAAAAAAGCATATACAACTAACATATCTTGCGGAAAAGGGGGTAAAAACCCAATATGTACTTTTATATCTCCAAGTATACACCAATATCATAGTGTTGTTGAAAATATAAATGTACTGTCAGAACCGATTATATATGTGGAACCACAAAATTATAAGTACATCGACGATGATGATGTTGATACATATGTTAATGATGTAGGTGCATATCATTACTTTAACCACAAACCACTAGCTGTGGTCAATGAGGTCGATAAAGAATCTGGTAAAGAAGAAGTTCATTTTTGAATGATAATGAATTAAAATGATAAGCGGAGTTTGCGAATTGTGACAAGCTGGATATATCCGACCTAGACAGTAGTTATAATGGAGAAGAATCAGATGATGAACCTAAACTTATGTATTCAGATATCATGTTTCATAATATCCCTCCATTTCCTTCATGTCTCGTAAATGTTGATGTCAACGTTCCATCTTAGAGGGTGGACATAAGTCAAGATATCAAGCTTCTGCACATGTTTGACAATAAAGAGTTGCTTAAGCTTGCAATTGCCACAACCCGCGACGCCATACAATGCATTTATGTTGAACGAAGTGAACACGGAGGTAAATTATATATTTTACATTTATATTTATTAAAATTTAAGTTTATTAATAAATCATCACCCTCACTTAAAAAATATTTGACATGAGCCTTATTTGGACTACTTGCTCCTCATGCAGAAACAATGCTTCGTAGGAGGATCATCAAGTCTTCATCTTGGGAGGCAACATGCATTAGTTAGAAAAACCTGTTTCTTGTAAAAGATTCATGTGCGAGGTTTACAGTAGATATGGACGACATGAATTGTACATGTGGAAAATGGCAACATAATGCTATACCTTGTGCTCATGCGTTTACAACATTCTGCTATCGTAAAATATTGTCCAACTATTCAATGGATTGTGCAGATTATGTAACAACGACAACCTATCGACGTGCATACCGAACATGAATGGCACGTCATTTACCACCTCAAGACCAATGGGAAATACCAATAAACTTGATGACTGTTTTACCCCCATCATGTTTAGTAATTGATGTAGGAAATAGG